TCGGCGGGGTCGCAGCTGCCTCTGCGCGTCCTGGGTATGTACCAACGCGGTATGGGTGGACGCAAGACAGATGATGACGAACGCACAACATCGTCCGGTAAAATTCTTTTCCCTCCTGGGCGCTGCCCGAGACCGCAGCCTCAAGACGTGAAGCGTCTGTGCCACGCGCCGCCACCCCCCCGTCGATGCTGATGGCGCTCACGCCTGGCCGCTGGTGCGACTCGAGGCTGACAGAGGCGCTTGCCTCTGGGGAGCGCTTCCCCGTCTTTTGCTATGGCAGCAATGGCATCGAGCAGATGCGAGACCGCTGCCGCAACGGCGGCCTCACGTCGTGTCGTGCCCGTCTTCCGGACGCATCGCGCGTCTTCGGCGGCTGGAGCGAGCGCTGGGCCGGCGCGGTTGCATCGGTCCAGCCTCTCGCCGGCCACGAGGTTCGAGGAAGCGTGGTCGATCTCGACTCGGCGGAGATTGAGCTGCTCGACTCCTTCGAGGCGACCAACCCGGACGCGCCATACGGCCGCACTGGCGCGGTGTACCACCGCCAGGACGTCGTCGTGCTCGTCCAGCGCGAGGCGGGCGGGCCCGAGGTGGCGGCAGTCGCGCTGGTGTACGTCAAAGTGGACGCGAGCTGGCGCGGCCCGCCGAGCCAGCGCTACGTGGACGCATGCGTGCGCAACGTGCTCCAGTTCTGGGACGGCAGCGAGGTCGAGGTGCGGGACGAGCGGGGCAACCTGCGCGATGGACCAGGCGGCGGCGGCGGCAGCGGCGGCGGCGGCGGCGGCTCCTCCTCCTCCTCCTCCTCCTCGGGCGGCGCCTCCTCTCTGGCGCCGCTCGCCTCGCCTCCGGCTGGCTCCGCTGAGGTTGGCGAGCTCAAAGACCATCTGCACGAGGTAGCACTTCCGCATGTCCTTGAGCTTCTTCTCGCACGGTATGCTCTTGTCGCCAGCCGAGGCGAGCAAGAGCAGCACCTATAGCCGAATAGCAACGGATTGGGCGGGCGGGGAGAGGGGGGGGGGTTGGGCCTTCACTTGAGAGCGAGACGGACCTCGACGAGGTGCGTGTGGTTGACGTTGTCCGTCGACTTTCCCTTCCCGTTCTTCCGGCTGGGCAGCTTCCGGTGCACATACGCGTCCACCGCCTTGTCGATGCTGCGCGTCTGCTGCACCGCTTCGAGCTTGGCGACAGCGCTGTCGGCGCGCGCGAGCGCGGCGAGGTGCGCGAGGTCGTGCTTGATCGTCTTGCGCTCCGCGAGAAACTCGCGCTCTAGCGTGCACCACAGCTCCTCCGGCAGCTTGCCCTCGCACTCCATATAGATCTCCTTGAGCGAGCGCGTGGTGCCGCGGCCGCCGGGGAGAGGGAAGCCGTGCTTCCACCTGTGGCATAGCGGCTATGGATAAAGGAGA